GATGTGGGTGGCGTGGGCTGTGGGCTCAGCGAGAGGCCCGCCGGCCCCCCAGCTGCAGTCCCTGCGTTCCTCCGGGGCCCCCAGGCCTGGCTCACCCTCCTCCCCGGGGAGAACCAGCCACTCTGCAGGGCACACGCAGTCCCGCCTCGGTGCCAGGGCAGCGGGCGCCGTGGGCAGGGACTGCGCTGGATGCCCTGGGAGGGCAGCTCATGGGGGAACGTGAGCCGGGATAAATCGGCCCCACAGAGCACAGACTTAGCGTCCTCAACGCGGCTTCTCCAGGAGAGCCCGGCGGTGCGGCTGTGGCGTGCGGGCCGCCAGGGCGCGGGGAGGGGTGTGGACACACAGCGGTCCCGGCCAAGGGGTCCCACGGCTCACTTCAAACTCTACCAGACCGTGCGGCCCTGAGAACGGCGCCTTGGGCGCCCTGGGCCCCAGCCTCAGTGGGGTGCTGCCAGTGCCCCCCGTAAAGAGGCTGCGTTTGCAGTCGGACGTGACTCTGGCCAGCCAGGCGTTCGAAGAAGTGCGTGGAGGGGTCTCCCCTAAGGCCACCGAAAGGGAGGAAAGAACTCCCTCACCAGATGTCCCCAAACCACTAACCCCTCCGGTCCCCTCCTCCCCCGGCCCCCGCCTGCGCCCTAGTCAAAGCCCCGAATGTTTGTGAGGACAAGGTAAGTAAGTCTTCACATGGATCACAGATCCCTTAACAAAGTCATACTAAAGGCCCCGATACTCCAAAACCCACTCAAAGAATTAAAGCAACTCCCACTGGAGCCAGATCCTCATCAAGCTATTTTTAAGGAGCAACCTGGGATATTTTTGTGCCGGCTCTGTCACTGGAGTGGCACAGGGTGGGGGTGGGGACAGCAGCTAGACGTCACGGAGGGAGAGGTTCAAGGACACACAGACATCGGCAGGGCCAAACACAAGCCACGTTTCGATCACTTAGCCCGTTAAGCCATTTCCCCGTTTCTCCAGCAGCGATGAGGTCATCGTGGGGGCAGTAGGCGTGCCCATCTGTCATCTTCTCTGCCAAGCCTCTGCTTTTTATGAGCCCATCTCACCGACGTGGGCTCCTCACCAGCGTTGGAGGCGGTGAGTCCCTTTGTTCATTTGTATTCATTCATTCATTCATCAAACATGCAGACTGTATTGTGTGAAATACTGTTTTAAACAGGAGTCATTCCAACTACATATAACAGGAACCCTCCTCCCCCCAAACAACAATGGCCTAAAAGCCTGGTCGTGGGCAGCCCAGGGACCCAGGCTCCTTCGGTCTTGCTGTCATTCAAAGTCATCACCTTATGATGCAAAATGGCTGCTCATCTCCAGCCCTCAATGTCCACCTTCCAGGCAGCGGGAAGGAGGAAGGGAAAAGGACCTAAATGGGGGCCTAGCCCTGTGCTGGGCCCCACCTGGCCAATCCTGGTCTCCTGTCAGGTCAGGCTCCCTGAATCAACAGACCTTCTCATAACAGGGTGGTTATTGGCATAATTGCTCTTCTGTGTTTGGGCCTCCCTGCTGAGGGGGCCGAGCGGTAGAGCAAGCAGCACCCCTCCCTCCCGGGCACGTGGCGGAGCTCTGGTGTGGCCCCTTCTGACCGTCACACCCCGGCTGGCTTTGTTGGTGGCGGTGGACAGGACTTCTAAGGGAAGATGGGCCACCTCACCACGCCAGGCGGAAATTACGCTTTCTGCTTGATATCCATTACTCTAATGGTGACCCATTTTGTCTGCGACACACTGGGCCGCCTTTGAGATGACAGGTTGACAATGGCTCCGGTTGGGTCAGCGCCGAGCACGCAGAGCCCATTAGAACAGGGCCGGGGGCTCCAGCGCGGCCAGGCCGGAAGCGGAGCAGATGCGTCTTCCTCGGCGCCGCCCTCCTGTGTCTGACCAAGTCCGCTGAGCAGAGACCGCAGTGCCTCCGCTCCCGCTCGCGGCTCCTGCCGCGCTGGTCTGCAGCCCTCCCGCAGCCCTCCCCCATCTCCTCCTGGCCGGCGTCACCGTCATAACCCCAGCGAAGGGAGAAGCAGCGACCATGGTGTCCCCCAGGCAGGGTCGTGGTGAAGTTAGAGGCGGCGGCTTGGTTTTGAGCACAGGTCTTCCCCTATTCAGTGTAGCTTTGTTAGATGGATCCATAATACGTGCGAATTTTCCCATGAGACATATGGGGAAAGTGGCCAGAGGGCAGGTGGCCGGCTACTGCGTGTTCTTGTTCTCCGGTCCGCTGCCCATGCCCCGAGGGTGGTGCAGCGCCACCTCCCCCCGCCCCGGCTCCGGGCAGCCCCCGGCCATGCACACAGGGGGCTCTGCCTCCAGGAAGGTCTGAGGCTATCTGGATAAAAATTTGACAGCCCACCTAAGTGCATCCCTTGACCAGGGGGACGTGCGTCCTGCTTGTGTGCAGGGATGCCTCCCCCATGGTGAGGCCTGAATGTGGCTCCGTGGCTGGGGCGTCTCTGGACCCAAGTTTTCAGTTGCAAAATTCTACTTCTTCAGCCTGAACGGCTCCCTGACAAGCACGCTGAGAGCAGAGGGGCCCTGGAGCTCTCGGCCGTGGCGGGGAGCACCCAGCCTGGGACACGGGAGGGGGAGAGATTGGCCAAGACGGGCCGGCCGCGCACGGCACGCACGTGTTCTCAGAAGGCACGTGTTCCAATGTGATGGCAGGACCCCGCCCTCCATGAAACCAGCAGTTCTCAAAAGGTGGTGGCCTTTGTCAGGGAGCTGGGGCCCATGCCTGGCCCCTGCCCCCTCCCCTGTGCCACCCATGTCCTAGGGCACGGAGCGTGACGGGACGTCACCATCACTTCCATGATGAGTCGCAGAAAACTGCCCTCCATTCCTCTGACCACGGCTGTCCCTCTGCCCCCAACTCCCTCTGCCCTCCTGGGGAGAGACGTGCGCCCGTATTGACTGTGGGCTTCAGAGATCAGTCAGTGCCCTGGCTGCTGTGGCTCAGTGGATTGAGCGCCAGCCCGCCAACCCAAAGGGTCACTGGTTCGATTCCCAGTCAGGGCACACGCCTGGGTCGTGGCCCAGGTCCCCAGTAGGGGGCGCATGAGAGGCAACCACACATTGATGTTTCTCTCCCTTGCTTTCTCCCTCCCTTCCCCCTCTCTAATAATTTTTTTTTTTTTTTAAATCAGTGTGAGTCCTGGTCAGGCCCCCTACCCCTTCCTGCCCTCCCACCTCAGGCTGCCGGAAATAGGAGCAACTGAAAGTCAGGCCGTGCCCTTGAGAGCAACCCCGTTGCCCCAGCGGCTGCCAAACTCTGTTCCTGAGACCCCCAAGCCAAGCCCCCTGCCAGCGCCGCTCCTTGCCCTCTGGCAAACCAGGGCAGCGCTCAGCGCCCTGGCGAGGACCTGCTCCCCCCCTAAGCAGCCAGCTGGCTTCGACCTAGTCCTCAGGCGCCTGGTGTCCTTCCTTCTCCACGTGGAGGCCGGTGGCTCTCCCGGGGGGTGGCCTGAGCAGTCTGCACAAAAGGCTTGTAAAAGTGAAATGTAGGCTAGAGGTGGGGTAGCATCACATTATCACCGTTTGTCCGGGGATCCTGTTCCCTCCAGGTCCCCGATGACCTCAATCGGCTGCACATCCCGCGTGGCGCGGCAGCCTTCCGGGAACCAGCACGGGCCGAGTGACGGCAAGGGCCGCCCCCATGGGCCACTGCTGAGCTCAAGCACAGTCCCGCCTGACGGCCTCATCCTTCCGTGGAAGCCTGGGGTGCCCGCCATCTGGGAGCTTGGGGAGCTTTCCTGAAGCCAGCCGAGGGGGCCGGTGTCTGCCTCCCTCCCGTGCCCCAGCCACGGCCTCTTCTGCCCGCCCGCCCTGTGGCCACCTCTGGGGGCCTGGCTGGTCTCCACTCTGGGTGCCTCCCCCCACCAGCCCCCAAGGGCTCGGCCGCTACCTGGTCCTGCTCAAAACAGCTCTGTGTCCAGCACCCGGGAGTCAGGAGAATATTGGCAGGGCCCCTCCCAAGCCAACAGTGCCCAGGGGCTGCAGGGGATGCCCGGAGCTCTGGGTGGAGATGGTCCCCTGGGGCCCACAGCCCAACCGCCGTCGCTGGTTTGCCCCCTTTTAGCAAAATAGGACTGGGGTTCGGGAGTCTGGAGTCCCCTGGGCGCCAGGAGGTGGAAACGCTGCAGGGGACTGAGCAGACCCTGGACGAGGGGGTGGTGGCCGCCCTGGCCTTCCAGGGTCTCTGGCCCTACGGCTCAGTGGCTTTCCTGACAGGGGAGAGCTGTGCTGGGCACGGGTCGCACTCCCCCGCTGGGACCAGGGTCCTGGTGGTGGGGGTGGGGCTCTCCGCCTCGACCTGGCCGCAGGGCGTTGACGGCTCTGGCCGGTGTCGGGGGCTTTCTTCCGGGGCTGGCAGGGGTTCTCCATTCAGAGCGACGGGGTCTTCACAGCGGGGCTTGCGGGGGCGTCTCTCCGCCATCCCTGCCACCTTTCCCCGCAAATATAGCCCACTGCGTGTCCCTGATGCGAGGCCTGGAGCCCCTCTAAAGAGCCAGCGGCGCAGACCCCCGCCCCATCGGGCTCCGGCGAGGAAGGCGGGAACTGAGCCCCGTGACGTGGCCGCGCGGCTCTGGGACGCGCTGCTAACAGCGCATAAATAGCCGCGGCGGCCGCTCCGGGCGCCGACACGTCGAGGGATCCCGACTCGTGCCATGCGGTGAGCGCCCCAGCCCGGCCCTGCCTGACCGGACGCCTGCCCGGACGCCCTGACCCGCTGACACCCGCTGGGACACTGACAGCCAGACCGCCGCCGTTCAAGGTACCGCGTGCCCTCGGGGCCCAGCGGGAGGCGCCCCTCTTCCCCGCCTGCCCGTGCGTGCTCCGGGGGCGCGGCGCCTCTGCCCCGTCCCCTGCTCCCCGTCCAGGCACCGGCCGCAGGGGGCGCGTTCCAAGCCGCTCGGTCCTCGCCGCCCTCCCTGCCGCCCGGCCGGCCGGCCGGGTCGAGCTCCGCCCGACGTGCACGCGCGTCTTCCCCTGCAGATGCCCGGAGCCAGTGCCCGCTTGCTCGCATCCCTGCTCCTGGCTGCGGCCCTTTCGGCCACCCCGGGGCTCGGGTCACCGGTAAGTGCGGGGCGGGGACCAGCGACCCGCCCACAGCCGCGTCCCTTCTCGGAGAAGGGGGGTGGTCGCATCCGCAGCAGCCTAGGCGCAGCAGGGCGCTCTGTGCGCAAGGCAGACACGGGTTGGGGCGCGGGGCCCCGCTGCTGGACTTGGGCTCGAGGGAGGTCGGGGTCCGCGCTGAGACACTCCTCCTCTGATCCCGGCCTCGCGCCTCCCCGAGCATAGCCAGCGCCGCGGAACCAGGCTTCATCCACATCCACAGAGGGTCCCTCCCGTGGGGGGGGCCCGCGTCGGCCATGCGCGTCCCCGGCACCACTGCGAGGACTGGGTCCGTGGTGGGCGGGCCCGCTGCGAATTACTGGACAAAGCAGGTAGTCGTCCGAGTGTCGGGCCAAGCACAGCGCGCGGGGGACACACCTGGGGTCGCCAGCAGCTTCCGGGAGCTGTCCCGGTTCCTCCCTGACGCCCGGGAAGCCCGGGGGCGTCATCTACCGCGACCCCCACCTCCCGGCTTCGGCTTCGGCTTCGGCTTCCGCCTCGGCCCTCGGCCTGCGGCGAGCGAGCACGCGGGACTCCAGCGCGCCCGTGGCCTCGGTCCCGTGGCTGCCGGCGTCTCTGGCTCCGGGGGCCGTGCGGGGCGGCACAAGCAGAAGCGTCTTTGGGGCTGCTGGGGGCCCCCAGTCTGGGCCAGGCACAGTCCCTGCCACTGACCTGCTTTCTCCCATTTAAGGTGAAGGAAAAGCGAGGCTGGACCCTGAACAGCGCCGGCTACCTGCTTGGCCCACGTAAGTGATGCTGCGCCTCGTCCCACCGGTAGCTGTTGGTGTTGCGCTTTTTCTGGAAAGTGCGCGACAAGGCGCGCCGATCCATCTGGGTCCCAGCGAGGGTCCGACACAGGGAAGCGGGGGCCCAGACCCTTGGAGGACGGGTCCTGCGTAGGTTAGGACACCGGCTGGCCCCTAGGGGGCGCCTGGCGCCGCTGCGGGGCCGCCCGCCGTGTGCAGCCGCGCCTCCCGCCTGGTACTCGGCGCGCGCCTCCACAGCGGGAAGGGGGTGTGGGGTGGGGCTCCCGGATTCCCGGCCCCCATCACCCGCCAGCCCCTCCAGGAGCCTCTCGCAGCACCAGGCCCTTGTCCCCCGGGCCCTGTGCCTCCGAGTCCCAGCGCCGGCGCAGGCCGTTCGCCCAGGCCCCATGGCCGATGTCCTTCCCTCCCCTGCAGTCCCCACACTGTGGCTGCGGTTCTGCAGGTGGTTCTGGGGGCACCTGGATCGCAGGCAGCCCTATGTCCTCCTCAGGTGAGGGGAGGGTGTGACCACAGTGACAACACTCAGCGGCTGTCCCCTCTGATCTGCACACAGATGCCATTGACAACCACAGGTCCTTCCACGACAAGCTTGGCCTCGCCGGCAAGCGGGAGCTCCCTCCTGAGGACGACGCGAGGCCAGGTGAGAGGACTCTAACCCCGGGGCGCCCAGTCACTCCTGTGTCCCTCACCTGCGGGGCACACAGGGCGGTGGTCCGAGCCTGGCCAGGCCACATCTGTCCACTGCTAGAAACAAGCCACAAAACCCGAGGGCGAGGTCCCGGGGCAGCACGGGACAGCAGAGAGCCCTTCCAGATGCGCCCCCTGTCCCCCCCACCCCGCTCCCTCCGGGTGAGGGTCGCCGCGGCACAGAGAGGCTTTTCCGGGCAGCGGGATCCCTGACCCACGGTCACCGGGCCGTGGACGGTGCTGCCGTGAGCCCCAGAGCGCCCGCAGTGGGGCGTGAATGGCATTCCTTTGTGGTTTCTAGGAAGCTTGGACAGGCCGCTTCCCGAGAGCGACGAGCGCACTGTGCGCACGATAATGGAGTTCCTGACTTTCTTGCATCTCAAAGGTCTGTGAAATGCGACCAATTTTTCTTTCCACCTCTGGGAACCCTGGGCACCTAAAAGTTAAGCTGGTGTAGAAAGGATTCCTTAGACCTCAGTAACCAATCACCTCCCACCCCCTGCACATGGAATATGACCACTCTTGGTTGGGATTACAAGGCACGGAACCAGAACCAGCCACTGTGGGGCTGGGGCTGCTGCCGGTTCCACACTGTCCCCAGAAAGGGTCATCACACCGACTGTTACCAAGGAGAGAGGGCCTTGGGGTTCAGCTCACTCCGTGGAATTACCGACGTGGCCACAACCACCGTGCCTGTAATGCCATGGCACACAAGGCCGGGTCCCTCCCAGGCCATCTGGAACCGGATCTCCTAAGTGGTGTAAATTAACAAGCGCCAAGGTTTCAGGCTTGGATTTTTCCTTTTGCATCTGGGGCAGCCTGCGCTTAAATGAGCGGCTCCCAACGCTGCATCTCCTGCAGACCCTGTAGGCGGGAGGCCTCCCTGCGGCCCCTTCGCCCCAGCCTGTCTGTCTGCGCTTTATGCTCAGCATCCCTGCGGCAGTGAGAGCCTGGCCCTAGGTGGATAGCAAGCCACCCCGCGGGACGCTCGGCCAGCTGACAGTTGTCCGTGGAGGGGTGGGGCGGGGACACGGGGAGACAGGCACTCTGACGCTCGGGGGGGAGGGGGAGGGCCAGGGGGAGAGGCCTCTGGTTGTCAGGTCTCCCACCGCACAATTCTGGCCGCCTCTCGGCGCTGCCTTGATGCCTTTGCTGCCTGGCCGCGCTGCCTCGGCTGAAGGGCTTCAGGTGGGCAGTGCGCGGCGGGGGGGACGGGCGAGGACGCTTAAGGCCCAGCTTCTTTTCCTTAGAAGGAGGAGGCTGGGGAGAAGGACGTGGAACCCCCAGAACTGAGTCCCTGAGTCCCTCTGTGGGAGCCAGTGGGGCCTCCGGGGACTCTCTGCCATGGCTCCTGGGAGGGGCCGGCCGGCTCTTCCTGGGCGTATTGTGTTTTACTTTGTTTTGTGTTTTGGATTTTGTAACATGGAACTTTCTTCATTAGGAGATACCAATTTTTAAGAGTCAAACAGGAAACACACTTCCTAAAGCATGACTTTAAAAGTCTGACAGTCTCAAACGCACGCTAAGCAGGCAGGTCCAATTGGTGCGAGGTAGGGAATGCGGAAGGCCGGGCTGGAGCTGGGGCCCGAGCCCCAGGAGCCCTGGGGTGTGCGACTGTCCTCCGTGCGGGCGGCAGGGGCTCGCCACCTGAGTGTCGCGTCCCCGGTTCCTTTGCAGAGGCCGGGGCGCTGGTGCCCGTGCTCCCGGCGGCCGTTTCCTCAGAAGACGCGGAGCGGGCGGCCCCGAGGGAGCCAGGCAGGTTCATGACGTCACATGAGGCCCCGCTGTAGGAGGCAGCCGCCCATCCTGTCTGCTTCGGCGCCGTGTTGCAACCACGTAGACTTTTCCCTTCGGTGATTTCTTTGAGTGGCAAAATAAAAACCAGCAAGCGTTGTCGCTGTCTTTTCTTCCTTGCGCCTGTCCCTTCGCCGCCCCGCCCCTCCCCCCGCCCCGCTGCACTGCGCTCTCAAAGAAGAGGCAGCCCTGTGTGTCAGAGAGCAGCTTGAAAAACAGACCCTGCCATCGAGGCCTTTTCCGAGACGCCCGCCCCTGTCACTGCTTGGCCGGGGAGCGTGAGGTTCTCTTCGTGCGAAGCCGAGTCAAACACAACTGTGAAGGTAAGTTTGTCACTGGGACAGAGAAGCAGGGGGCCCTGGCCCCTGGAGCTGACGCTTCGGGGAGCGGACACCCATGTCTGACGTGCCAGCAACATGACAGGGGAGTTGTTGTTCCGTGTTGTGAGTGTGACAGGTGATCAGCAGGAAAGAAAGAGCCAGCAGGGAGGCGCCAGGAGTGAGGTGGGCCCCCAGGGTAGGGCCTGGAAATTTGTGTGGTCCAGGCAGGAAGGGGAGTGTTCATAGATGAGGGGACTCGTGCCACTCCCTGGTGTGGGAGGCTAGCACGTGGGCACAGCTCCATGAAGGGCAGTGACAGGTGCGTCCCCTGCGCAGGACAGTCACACCGAAGATTCAGAGAACGCAGGTGGGCAGAGGCCTCCCGTCGGGTCACGTGGGGGCTTCTTCGTGTTCGGAGCGGGTCTGCAGTGAGGCGGGCGCGTCTTTCCATGACTTCACCCGGTGGTGGCTCTCACCCTGGCTGACATGAGTGTCCTCGTGCCGGGCGGCCTACAGACCGCGGCCCTGGGAGCCTGGGTACCGTGTCTTTAGTGTGCCCCAGTGACACATATGCAATATGCAATATGCAGCCTGCTCCCGGAGGCTGTGGCCGGGGGGAGGGGGCGGGGCGACCTGAGCCCCTGTCCCCTTCTGCTTGCCCGGGACTGCCAGGGAGCTTTCCTTCCTCCCACAGCGGAGCCCCACCCCTCCCGCCCGTCCTGTGGTCCTGAGGCTCCCCGGGCGCTGCCCCCTGTGGGCTCCACATTCCCACCCAGGCTGCACTGTCCAGCCCAGGGCGCACCGTTTCACTCCCCCCACCCTCCCCTCATATTTCATTAATTCTCTTTAATCCTCTCGGACTTGGGGGAGCACCAGGCCCCTCCCCAGAGGGGCTGACTCAGGCAGACCGTGTGGGCCAGAATCCGCAAGCCTGGCGGGGCCGCCCCCACACCTGCTCTCAGACCGTGCAGCCCTCCAGCCTGGCCACCTCCGGCCTGGCCCCTCCGTCCACTTTTTAAAATGTGTCAATGGGCCCTGGCCGGTGTGGCTCAGTTGACTGGACTGTTGTCCTGCAAACCAAAACATCGAGGGTTCAATTCCTGGTCAGGGCATGTGCCTGAGTGATGGGTTCGGTCCCCAGGGCGTGTGTGGGAGAGGCAACCACACATCAATGTTTCTCTCTCTCCCTTCCCCTCTCTCCAAAATCAAAAACACATCCCCAGGTGAGGAGAAAAATTAAAACAAAATAATAAAATAAAATAATAAAAAATTGTGGACTAGAAATTTCTAATTACCTGTGTGGCCAGCAGATGTCGCCTTTGGCAGAGCTGCGGAGAAGCCCCCAGGAAGGAGGCACGCCCCAGGACCCTTCCAGCCCCGAGCGAGCGTGAGGCGGGGTAGGTGGCTCTGTCCCAGCTGTTGTGGGACTGGCGGCCCTCGGAGTGACAGCTCGGCTCCCGAGAACCCGCCACCTCACACTGCCGCCTCTGCCCTGGCTTCCCCCCCAAGAGTCTGCTTTAGGACCGGACGTGGGATTGAAGTGGAAGAATTAAGGATCGGGACTAAGCCCGCGGCCCCCCTTCTCAGCTGCCTGGAAGGAGTTTCTGGGCGTTGTCTGAGGGGCCAGTGCCAGTGACACACGCGGAGACCCGAGGAAGCCCGTTTTCCGTTACTAAGTGAGTCACAACAATGGGACATTCAAAACTTTTATTCCTCCTTGCTTTACAATAGAACCAAAAGGGTCAGCTTAACAGCTAATCTTACCTGCTGGATTTTGCAAACTAGTTAGTTTAACCATACATTCCCGACAACTACACTATTATAGTAATAATCATGGGGAATTTAACTGGATAATAGAGCTTTCCCACACTTCAAATAGAAACAATTAAGAAACTAGATAACTTTCAGTCCCACACTCAAAACACTGCAGAGGAGAGCGTGGCCCCCGCCCCCGCGGTCTGCGTGTCTCGGGTCCCAGAAGAGGCGGATGACCCTGTGGCTCTGGGGACAAGTCTGCACTCACGTCCTCCAGGGCATTCAGTAGTTCCCCAGGGATCTCAAGCTGTGTCTCGGCAGCCCATCTGGGGACTTTATTTCTAAATAACTGGGGAAAATTATTATGGCTTTTCACGCAGAGACGCCTCCAGGGGAAAACTCCTGGGGGAGGGGCACGAAGTCAGTAGGGCTGGACTTGCTGCTCTCCCTGGGCCCCGCGCCAGCCCCCACGTCAGTGCAGACGGGCCTCCCAGGGTCCCCGCTCCCTCCTCTGGCCTCACTGCAATGGCCGTGTCACACATGTCCCCACAAAGGGGCTTCGGGGGACTGGCCCCTCTGACACTGAGCCCCCGAGTCCCCGATGCAGAGGGAGAGCCTGACCTTACTGCGGTGGCCGCTCCCACAGGCCTGGCCTCGTGTCCCGAAAACCGCCTTCCTCCTCGACGGGTCTCCTTCAGGTGCCCACATCCCGCTGGGCTCTGCTCTACTGCATGGCCAGCCCTTTGGACTTGAACTCAGTGTGGAGAATCTGCGACAGGCAGCGCCCGAACTCCTCCAGGACCATCTGCTGGGCCAGGCCGGCGGGGCGCCGCGCCCTCTCGGCCTCCTCGCCCTGGGCCAGAAGGCAGGCGCAGGTGGCCTCCACCACCTCCCAGGAGATGCACGACGGCCGCCTGCCGGAGACGCGCCCGTCAGACGGCAGGCACGGGCTTCGCTGCCCTCAGGCGCCGCTCGTGCAAGGGGACAGGCTTGCCACGGCGTTTTAAAGGGTGTCCCTGGTAAAGACTGAACGGTGTCTCCCTAATAGTGGAAGCTATTCACTGGAATGACATCAAGGATTATTTTTAGAAGAAAAACATAGAGGAAGGTAAACCTGTCAGCTCCTTGACATTCCTCTCATGGCAGATTCTAAGTTTTCTCAAAATCAGATCCACCCACAAAGCTCAGGCTGGGTGCGAGGAGCCCCCGGAGACACACCCTGCGCGGGGTCTGCACAGCCAGGTGGGGTGTCGGCCTCGCCCCCACAGTGGCCCTGGAGCCAGGGAGCCCCCGGAGGCCCCGAGGAGCCCTGGACAGGGGCCTGCAGGGCGGCTGTGCCCCCGCAGGACCCACCCGTCCCCTCGAGCTCGGGGAGTGGAGCGAGCGCAGCCCCGGGCGTGCTCCCACTGGACAACTCCAGGGGGCTTGCAGGACCTTAAGCATGAGTGGCGCTGGGGACAGTGGCTGGGAGAGGCTCAGGTCTCTCCGTGGATGCGGCACCAAGGGCGTCTGCTGAGGGCGAGGGGATGGGGCTGGCTCCGGTCACAGGAGTGGCCAGGGTCTGAGGCCTGAGTCCAATGCCTGGAGGCTTCATCAGGCCCTGCCGGACACACTTGGTCCCCAGGGGGCGGAGATGCTGTCACATGCCACTGCACAGAAGACTCAGCCATGTTTTGTAAGTTTTTACAGATTAAGGTCTCTGCAGGTCACAATCATGTGTCCTGCGGGTGTCCCTTGAAGCAAATGAACGTGAACTTGGCTTTTCAATGATATTAATTAATGACATTTGAACATAAAGCCATTTTTTTAAATGGATGAATCCAGGCCAATATATAGTGAAATCATTATTCAACCTTTGAGACCTACTAGGATCACCACATGGCCACAAAATAAGTAAATGGGGACTGTCCAGTGGCCGTGGGTCCCCTCACTTCAGCGAGGACCTCAGCCTGTGACCGGGTGGCTCTGTGCTGTCGCTGCAGGCGGAGAGGGGCGGCCAGGTGTTGCTGCCTGGGCGTCATGCGTGGCCGCCTGAGGCCCGTGGCCTGCCGGTGACCCCTGCGGGGCCCTTGCTGAGAGGACACACGGGACACAGCGGCGGAGCGTCTGAGGCAGCCGCGGCCAGGGTTGGCCGGAGGGGGTCGCGGCACCGTCTCCCCCTCCCCGGCACCGCCCTGCACAGCACGCGCCCCTCCCGGCGTGTGAACGAAGCCTCCTCCCCAGCCAGCCCCCCGCTTCCCCAGCAGGAGGGCTGGCTCAGAGCACCCACCTCTGGGTTCTGAATTTCCGCAGTCCGCCTTCGGCACCCCCAGCTTCCACGTGGGTAGGCACGGCCATCAGCACTGGCCGTTCTGGGCTTTCTTCGTAATTTTTGCAACCAATGCATTTGCAAATAGAAGAGCACAAAATTTTGGCCTGGTAATATAAAATGCTTCAATGAAATTAGGTTGTCCTATAATTCATCAAAAAACAAATTCTATTGAACATAAAATAACTGTTTATATTTGCATGTGTACACAGTCTGCAATTTTTATACCAAAAGAAAAAAAGCCACAATGTGAGGAGAGCGAAGTGCACGTCCCACGTCCCCTCGTGTCGCCATAGCGGGGACATAACGGTGCGCTGACGAGAGAGGTGGGAGGGGCTTTGGAAGGGTGGGTGATGTGGGTGGGGGTCCCCAGGGGGCTCTCCGTCTCCACTGGGCGTTCTCGGGACACGCCGCGCCCGCCTCGGGGGTTGAAGAGAGCGTGTGGGCGGCAGCTGGCTGTGCGGCCCCAGCTGGGGCTCGCCTCTCCCCGCTGCGGCCGGGGCTGTGCGGCCACAGAACTGGAACCCGCATGCATGCAAGGGGTGGGCAGTTCTCAGCTGGGCCCAGCAAGCCTGGGTCCTAGCCTCCGTTCACGCCGGCCCTGCGGGCAGCC